TTTGCATTCATTAAGTAAAATTTTCATTAAGTCAGACCTTTCTCAAGATATGACACATAACCCCTCTATCTCCCCTCACCTCAACCTTTAACCACCAAAATTTAATAGCATCGATGCCCTCTGCAGACAAATTACCATGCCAAATTTCGTTCCTTCATCATTACCCTATCCCGAGATATTAAACGAAATAGATACCAACACACAAATATCCATAATTTTTCCCTCCTATTTTTTGACATGTTTGGTTTTCAGGACGTCTCAACTTCGAGGACCAAGATTGACACGATCCCTATACTTTCCGGGATGTTATGTATACATAACATCCTGGAAAGTAAAACAGCCTTCCTATTGTTCAGTCTTCAATGTACAGTAATTGAAACTGTTCATTTGCATAAACTTATATGTATGTACTGTATCTTGTATTTACTTAAATAGCAATATTTGAAGCAATATTTTAATTGAAATTAATAAGTATTATATTACTGAAGAAATATTCTGTTATTTATCAGTCTTAATTAATTTAAATTTTGTTATAAATTATTTATTATTAGATGTAATAAGATTTTTTAATGAATTAATATTATAGAAATATATGTGACTAGCAGACCCCGCCACGCGTTGTTGTGGCTCAAAATGTATCTATTATAAATTTATAACACTTCCCCGTGGGAAGGGGAAATTTTTCGAAAAATTTCTTCTTAGTGTACATTCTGTTGACGTACCCTATTAAAACGCAAAAAACCGCATCTAAAATAGTATAAATAGAAGCAGAGTTCTTTACGGTAAGCCTTAATCCTAACCATTTCCCTTCAGTGGGGGGAATTTCGACACGTATGTTATATAAAAACACATGCGTATTCGAATGCAGCGTTGTGTCAAAATTTCAAAGGAATCGGTAGGAACAAACGAACATTACATTTTTATTTATATAGATAGATAGAAGATGATCTGCTTTAGTTCATTTTCACAGAAAAGCATAATGCCTCACAGAAAAGCAAACTTAGGGCGTCGTACTCGTAGCGCCATCTGTTGGACATAAAAGCCTTAACCTAGATTATATATTTTAATTTATATGAATGTTTAACGGAATAATATACAGCCTATGTCCACCCTGAGGTTCCATTCTAAATATTGGTGAAAGAATTTTTGAAATCGGATGAGTAGTTTCGGAGATTACCTGCTGCAAACAAACTTACATACATACATACATGCATACTTACAAACATTACCTCTTTATAATATTAGTATAGATAATAGATTTAGTGGTATTAGATTATTTCTGTCAATTTAATTTCTATTTTTATGCAAATTTGATTTGAAGTGTTTTGAGGTGTATATGCATTGATTAAAAGGGGTTAACACGACAACTGGGCGATTTACAATAGGCGACAGAAACTTAAAAATTTTTGCACGCTTAGCAAGCGAACGATTGGGCGGATATTATTTATTTATTTATTATTTTTTGTAAATATTGGTAAAATGTATATACAGTAAATATAAATATGGTTAAGACTTATGAAGTATTACTGTAGTTACAAATTATTTCCAACTTAGGAAAAGGAAATGTTTCGAACATCTTACTATAGCATTGTTTTATGTCAGAAGCAGTTATCAAAACACATCAAAGAAAAGCAGTTCTTTGAAAATTCTATCGAAGGACTGCTTTTCTTTCATGTGATTTGTTAACTGTTTCTATTGATAATTCTTTCGAAGAACGTGCCGTCAATTTAACATAAGTACTGTATGTATAAACGAATCATTTTCAAAAATAAAATTTAAAATAAATTTAAATCTAATTTAATTTAAAATAAAAATTTTGTTTTGAATTGTACGTTTTTTTTTTATTTTTTTAATGTATAAATATGTTTTTGTTAATTACAAAATCGTTCTTTTAACTCGTTTAACTTTTTGAAAATATTATTTAAATTTACCGGGTAGTAGATCAATATTTAAAAATGGCTATTTTAATAAATAAAACAAAAAAAATTTGTATTTTGTCTATTATTCATCTGTTATTTTGCCGCCCAATTGTTCGTCGCCCAATTAAAAGTTTCAGCAGAAAAACTCTTCTTTGACAATAGGCTAATATGTCC